TTTTTTTTTTTTTTTCTTTAAGACCATAGCTGGGACTCCACGGGTTCTTGAGATATTGAAGGTCAAAGATGCATTTTTAATTTTTCTTTTTTTGCGCAATCGAATTCTAAGTATTATTACAAAACTTTTTTCCAAACCAACATTACCTGAATTTTCTATTTTTCTAAATAATATACGCATTTGAAGTTACGAACAGTAATTTACGTGATAAATAAATGCAGACCCGCACAAAATACATCGTGCATCTCAGTAGGATTTTTATTTTACAGAATTGTTTTGTTGTTGCGAAGTAAACTAGTACTTATCACAGCGTTTTCATGCTAAGCTGTGAACCTTTGCACACAATCTCACGAAGCCCGTTTGCTTTACATTGCGCGCAATAAAATTATTATTTTTTTTGATACCTAAAAATAAAAGTCGTTTCCCAGTGATAATTTTAGCGTAAAGCTACTTAGTTAAAACGGTAGTATGCGTAGTTAACGGCTTCGTTAAGTGTCTTTTACACCCTGCATATACATAATGTATACCAATATACATATCTAACGATGCCGTTTTAACGCGGTTTTATGTTTATTTATTACGATTGCGAATTTTAGTAGGTGACCCTACTCTCGTAAACAACGCGTGCCGAAACGCTGGCCGGCTGGACGCCGGGGGACCGCTCTAGGAGAAGGTTGTTACCATCGCGTAACATATTAATTGATAATAACAAACATGAATGGACGAAATGGATGCTCATATTGTGTCTTGGCTAGAGGAAACCTCTGATTTTGAAGATGCTAGTACACGGATTGTTGATGAAATTGTGTCAGACAGTGATCGATCTAGTTATCATAGTAAGCACAATACGGAAACAGAACAACCAGCAGACAGCGACGCTTCTAACAAGAAAGAGCCTTTTCCAATTGTTTTGCCTTCCGAAATACCTATTCGACGCCAACGGACATCCACTGCAGGTATAAGTAGCCGTTTCTCAGAGACTTAGCATGCACTCAGCCTCGATCGCGTCGTCGTAAACGTAGAATACAACTACATGGTGATAAATCTCCAACACGTATGTCTAGCGATGACGATGAACTATTGGCACAGCTAGTTCGTCTCAGGAATGCATTGTACACTTGCACAGGCAAGTACGTCAGATCAATCTCAACTTTTAGCTGCTTCTCAAGCTTCTTTACGACGACCTACTAGAGTTCCGATGCACTAAGGTAAAGATGGCACTAAATGGCTAATTCAAATGTAGATGGCAATGCTTTCCGTGGGTACCTATATTCCTTAACCTGCTGTCTGCTGTACGTGTTTACGTCACTGAATTCTTCCTAAAGGGGATGGTGAAATATATATTTTGTTTTTATTTAATAAGATTATGAAATTATTCACACCTCTCTTTACCTCTAGAGCTTTTGCTTCAGTCTCTTAAAGTTAAATAAAAATATTTTTTAATTTCAATTCTTTTACCTTTTAGTTCTTAACTAAATGTTAATAAATACATTAAAATATTTAATTTATTTTTATCTCTTTTAATTCTTCATGTACAATTTTCTTTTTTTTAATTAAGGCGAAGGGCATGCGAAGCCTGGCAAGTACCAATGTGACTTTTTCCGTGTTATATGTACTTTCTATGATTATTTAGACACCTCTGACATACGGTGAAGGTAAACATCGTGAGGAAACCTGAACTTATAATTTCTAATTACCTATAAGTTTGAAATCGCCAACCCGCATTGAGCAAGCGGAGTCCTTTGCTCAGCAGTGGGCACTTATGGGCTGATGATGTGTTGTGAATTAAGGCGAAATTAGCGCCGATATTATGCGTGAAATATTGCGAAAGAGAAAACTCGAAAACATGCGCTTCCCCAGACATGAGACTGAGTTAGATCGATTTCTCGACCCCGAAAACATATCAAATTTCAGCGAAATCGTTACGCGCCATCTGCCAGGCTGATTTGTGAATCTAAACCACCCAGGGCGCCACTCAAACGCATACAGAAAATAAAACATTTAAATCGGTCAAGTCGTTTCGGAAGAGTTCAATTACATACACACGTACAGCAGAATTATATATATAAAGAGTACTGTCCCAGTATTTTAAACATCTGGGTAGACGAGAGCGTTGGCCTGGGTCATTGCCCTCTTTGCCTTGAGCCGGTATTGCAGGCTGGTCACACAACTAAAGTCCTTGTGTGTATATACCTTTACATTTGTTTATTGTTGTCGCTAAATGTTAAGGGCCGATTTTTCAATGGTTAGATTAAAGTTATCTGCGGAATAATTATGATGCTGTCGCGGTCCGAATGTTTTTATAACACAGTGACAGCAACAATTTTATTCCTCTTAAACTAAACTCACTTAAACAACAACAAAAATTACTTAAACAATCAATGAGGTTAGTCCCTGCCTTGTAGGTCAAATGGTTTTATTGGTTCACTACATTCTCAGTAACATAAGAGATTAAGTAGCAATGACCGGTGTTTGGATTGCGAAAACACAAATAAAATGCAAAGAAGGTTAAATACAATTGCGCTGTTTGCAATATTTGTTGTGCATAAAGTACCCATTTGTATGCTAAGTAGTTTCAATAATAGTTTCAACATTACCATTATTACCTAAAAAGAATCAACCTTTTAAAAAACCTTGAAACAAGACATTCTACTATATTCACAGGACCTCGGAAGACGATTTGGATGCTCTAACGATTTGTATGTAAGGGTTTTAGGCCCGACAAATTTATAAATTTATCTGGGTCTGTGTAAGGACTATGCGATTAGACTCGAATATATTAAAATTTCATAAATTGCGACCTAGATCTTGCGAACGTATTGAATTTGAAGTTGGCAATACCACGCACAATTGTGCTATTGTTTATACCGTGATGCTTAATTGAGAGTACAAAGAATTAGCAGTTACTTTTTAGTGGCTATACGATGTTCTCTTTTATGGCCCCACGTTGGGCACCAGTTGGGTATGGACAATAAATTGTTAGCCCATATTTTTTCTGTAGACTTGAAGGAAATAAAAATATAATAATATTATAAATCGAATAAAAACTTTTTTACAGTTATATTTAAAGTTTTGGTATCTACACTTTTACGTCGACGCGACCGCCGAATTAACAGTGAACACGTCTGTCGTGTTATTATTGACAAGAAAGGGCGGGAGTCATCAAAAATTAAAAATAATGACTATTGTGAACTTTGTTTGAAGAATAACACTTCCTTCCTCAGTCCGAAATTTTATCAAAACGGATTACGCATCGTTGCCTTAAAGGTAAGGCAATAACATTTTATGGGTCTCACGTCTCAACAATCGCGTAATTTTTTAGCTTTCGTAAAAACAAATCTTGTGTTTTGTTTGAAGAGTGACGATTTCTACCAAAGGATGCAGTCCTTTGGTAGAAATCGGAGCGATTCACAATGGAATATGCAGTACCTATATACTTTTGACTTTATTGTATTATTTTTTTATTACGCACGTTACCTATCTGTTTTACATGCATAAACCAGTAATATTATGACTTGAGTTAAAATGAGAATAGGCTCATTTTCGCTTGGCAAAGTATGTAAATGTTACATTCAATTATTATCAATTTTTTTTGTATTGAACGAAAATTGTCCTGCATTTGTTTTATGGAGAAAGCAAGACTTACCTAATGTTAGGATTCAGACGTTATTTATGTTTCGTAACATGCTACGTGTTCGAAATCGCGTATACACTTGTCATTAGGCGACCCCGCCCACAATCATGATTTCACGGTTAAATAGATATGCATGACAAACCAACTGATGTCGATAACCAAAATTTTATGTAAAGTGTGTTTGGAATGAGGATAAATCTAATGAGGATAGATCAAAATTAGGACCAAGTTACTAATACTCCATTTAGTTCATTCTAGTGATCCGAAATAGCAAAGATAAATGGTCAGACAAGAACTAAACAACGTTTTTTAAGGTCGGGTAAAACCGTGCTGGATTAGCTAGTCGTGGATAAAAGTATACCCACGAGGTGGGAAAAAACATCCAATGACTACTCTCCCCTAGGTGGAGCAAGAGGGAGTGTCGGATTCATACTGACTAAATAACGACCCGTTCCTTTTTCTGTTCCGAGCTGGGCTCCGTACAAAATAGCGATTGCAAAGTCAAAATCAAAATCATTTATTCCAACTTAACCATAAATAGGTACTTTTGAAAAGTCAAAATAGAAAAGTAGTCTGTCAGTCTGTTCGTCAGTGAAGCTAGGTGCTCATTCCAAATTGTAGATTCGAATGGAGAAGAACGAGCAAGAAATTCCATCGTTACTCTTTTAAAAAAAATATTTGCACCCACAGCTTAAATGATTATTTTTAATAAAGCGAGTGAGATTATTATGTGCGACAGGTGTATGTTGTAACCGTACTTTCTAATGATATGGACAAACATGTACATATGTGTTTATTGAACATTAAATACTCAATGTTAAACAATTCTCGATAGTATTTATATTGAATCAGCTAATGGACGTCGTAATTTTGCAATTGACTTATCAGGATTCCTTATTTTTGAAATTTTTTTCACATACATAGTTCGACATGCATGTTATGTATACACACCAACTTTCTTAATTTACCCTGACATGAGACACAAAAAATTCTCGTCCATTGAACTCACAATGTACATATAACAGATTCTTTGTCCCAACAAATTGAGACCAACGGTAAAGTAAGTGCAATTTATGAATATAAACCAGGTCACGAGTTGTTCTGACAGCTCGTTTGTCTGACATTGCACAAAAAGACATATTATGCAGAAGTCTGCGAATAATGAGCTAAGTGTGGAGAACGTATGTTAAATATAAAATTATTATTTTGTCTTTGACCAAGGTGAAAAACGTACCTGCGATACAGTCGACTGTCTCGCGAAATGCGCAAGACAAACGCAGAATTAAATAAAAATAATGTAAAGTAGATTTATAGGGTATACAGCATGAGTTTTATCCTGTTAAAAAGAGTGAAATTATGTGTTTACCTGATAGAAATAAGGGCTAGGTTCGGTCTCCCCTGCTCCGTTGAAGTCGTCCACGTTAATCAGCTGGAAGTCGTATCGAAGGCCTGCGTTGGCGGCTCGGTATTCAGGTAGGCGAGTCACATGGCCAAGGTCACCCAGAGCCAGGTAGCGCCAACGATATAGGTTGCAGATACTGCGACATAAAAAATGTAAATTAACCGATAACGTTTTGGTATAAAACATAAAATGCTGCACCGAAATACCGACTTCAAAAAACACCTGTAACGTCATCAATTACATAGGTTCTAATTGAAATACTGCGTAACTGCCGCTTTGAGTCACTATGTTTGAAAATTGTTACGTAAGGATTTATTGACGAAATAAATCACGACAAGGAATAGAACTACAATGATATAAAATACTACTTAGAAAACAAAATAGACACCAAAATATATATGTATAAAAAATAGCAATATGAGTGTGTGACTAATTTCAAAGTGTGCATTATGTATCTTCTTCTCATTTACTGGTAATGACTGGTATGTGTTTTAAACTCATAATTTTCAGAATTCGCGTCGTTTTCATGCTAACCAAACAAAATGACGAGCTCATTTATGTTAAGTTAACAGTTTTATCTAAAACGGGCATCCTTTTTACTTTTTAGCATTAATATGACACGCAAAGTCTACGCAAACAATGTTAAAAACACTCAAAGTTTGTGACTATTCATATAAGGAAGAAGTTCAAGCAGCTTCAAACAGTAAATAATTAAAATTACGACAGATGTAAACTGACCTTGGCCTAGCTCGTCCTTGAGCATCCAGTTCCACATAAGGAACTCCAAGCCTGACCATCCTAGTGAACAGACTCTGTTCCATGTTGCAGTACTTCTGGAAGGCCATGTTCTTGACTACCGGTGGCAACTGGTGGTGGTCTCCGATCATTATCCATCTCTTCAGTCGAGAACGACCGTCTTGAGGGTTTTGTAACAGTAGAGGAATGAATGTCTCAATTTCCAGGATTTGTGCTGATTCTTCCATCAATATGTTGTCGTATTTAAAGCCTAAAATTTAGTACACGGTTAGTTGACAATAAGCTAATAGGTTACAGTTCTATGCTTTGATCTCAGGGGTCTCAGTTTCGAAGTTTCCGAAGTTCCGAAGTTTCTCGGGCTAGGGGGATTATGCGAAGATGCGGCGAGCAAGGATAGTTCGCCGCCCGACCAGAACCAGACCGGGGTGCGCAATAATATTGCTCGGCCATTAGCGGGAAAAGGGACGAAATGATTTTGAATCAGCAAGAGTCTGTCAGTTTCTTGCTCCATCCAGAATTTCGAACAAAAAATTCATAAGCAGGTCTTCTACTAGAGCCGGGGTTGCGGGGCAAGCGTAATAAGTCACCGAGGCCTCGGCCTAAAGCAGGAGAAGGAACAGGAGGGTTTTAGTCAGTAAGAGTCTGACACTCCCCCTTTCGCCCCACCCTGGGCGGGAAGAAGTCATTTGATGTTTTTCCTTATGATGAAACTTAATATTTGACCAACGAGACAATTGCGTACTTTATATCTCAACATAATTACAGCGATCAAGAACGAAATGATTTATAATTTCATAATATTAAGCAGTCGGTATCGTTTGATCACGGGTATTTCCACAATAGACCATTAGAGAATAAAATCCATTAGTTTGAAAACGGAGAATTCTTTTAACAAACTGTGATTGACGACCCCATTGTAATGCTGATTTTATCCTATCGTTTTCATTGAAGCATTCTAAGAATTTCCATTGAGCATAATTGCGTACCCATTTGGACCAATTCAGATCTCTTGAGTGCTGCATGTGTACACGTCATGGCTATAATTTTCGCTTCCTTCACAAGCAAATATTTCGATCTATCCAATCCTGAACGAAGTAGCTCGAATGCACGGAATTCTTCAAGCTCCTCGAAAATATGGTCGATGTACCTGTGAGGAAATAAAATATATTATTAAGAATATCTATCGAGTTTGCGAAAAAAATCGTATTTCAATGAAAATTTACCTGTAACAACTCTGTGCGACTTCCATGTCTTCTTCGTAAGATTTTCCAGGAAACAGAGGTTTAGGTGCATCGTCGAAGAATTCGTGGAATGGAAACTCCTTGCTTATGGTTTCTATGGACTTCGTCTGACAAAGAAAAACAAATGATACTCAATAAACACAAATTACATGATGGACGGCCAATTTTCTTGAATTTTAACGTTTTGATATTTGAAAGAAAACTACTTAAGAAGACAGATAGGATCAGGTGATGTACAAATCTGTACATTTTTAAAACCTAAAGCGGACTTATTGAAGTAAAACATATTCATTTCATTCATTCTAAGGCCATCTTTACAATTTCATCTCCGTTCACTACCAGTGGATAGGTAGCTTTCTTTTTAAAAGTGGTTTGTTTGATTTTTATCGCCATGCTTTGCAGGATCGCAATTGGGCTACAGATGTTTCTAAATATTATTTTAAGAACAGATAGCGTATTTATTGTTGGTTGCAATTTTAAACTTAGGCCTTTAAAACCCTGTTACCTGGTCTTGAGCACACTTAGCGAGGAATGTCTCCCATCTTGGTCGCACATGGTACACATGAAAGTGGTGGGCAAGTTCACAGGTGGCTCCAGCATCCTCGCCAGCTTCCAGGGTCTTCTGCAGCCTGCCCACGCGCTCAAGGAGTTCCAAGCGCTTTGCTAGCACGTAGTTTACACGGCCATATCTGTCCAAAAAAGGGTTTAAAATCAATTCAAATCTAGCGTACCGGCAATATAAAATTCTACTAAAAAGTTGGGCAGATCTTGTGTTACTGTCTGTACAAGATTTTTATTGGTCATATATCATTTGACCGAGTTATGCCGCCGCCCGGCTCTACGATCCATTGATGCCGCACCTAAAACTGTATCTGTGTGGGGTGCAAGTTTGCGCGGGATACGAGAGCAAAGGAGTATCTGTTGTTTATGATTGATTATTGGAATGCATCATCAATGTTCTTAATCCAAATTGTTATTAACTAATGTTACACAAGTATGTTAAAATGGACCTACTGTTGAATGATGTTACGAATGCACCCGGACCGTACAGTGGCTACATATGCACTCAAGCGTTTAGGTTAAGTAAAATGACAATACACGAAAATGATGTGTTCGCAAAGTGTTCGGTAGCTTTAGACCGAACAGTTACTAAAGTCGAATTCTATAACATTTTGAACCATGTCTAAATGTGTAGCACTCTGTACCGTCTTTATGGTTCGAGTAAAGTTATTTTGAGACGAATTAAAAGCCGCAATGTGAATGGAAGTGCTTTTGAAGTGATTGCAGTAATTTTATATTACTGAGTAGTCCAGGCCTAAGTGCATTTTATAATTATTACACTACTCGACTACTTCTAACTCACCTAAAAAGGATGTGTCTTTAGAACACGAAGTGGTAACTATAAATCACGTAATCTAATGCGTAAGAGCTACATGGTAATTGGTTGCTTCAACATTCAAATTGATTGATTCCGATATTTGCTGACTATATTTTCTTTAATATCAGCTTACGTAATACTTGACAAAATGTCTTAAATAAAATAAACTGGTTGTTTAAGATACAGATGCGTACCTATTTCGTACAAGTGTTAAATTTAAATAAGTTAGGAGTATTATAACGTGTATCTCTTAGTGCTTTTCCAGTAAAAACATGACGTCAAAATTAATACATATACTACATTTATATGACAATATGAACGATCAACGGCGACCATTGCCCCTCGTCAACTCTACTTTTTACGTCTGGTATTAGAATGGGACGATGAAAACAACTGTCTGTTCGTTTTTGCAAGTTTTTTTATCAATAAAGATTCGTCGATCATTGAGTCATTTTATCCATTTCGACCGATATTCAATGGTAATGATTGTATTGCCAGAGACAGTTCGTTTGATGGTTCAAGGCCAATTCCGTGAGTATAACCAATGAGGAACAGTTATTAATAACATCGGCAAAAACGGAACTGAGGTTTCAGTTTATTTCGGACACGACGAAGATTGGTTTAGACAGGCCTCTGATTTTGTATTATGTTACATAATAATCAGAGATATTTCGTATAAAAAAATTAAGTTATTTATATTCAGTAGGTTTAAATCGCCACGTTGACGTTGGCTATAGATTAAATTGAGACACTGCTATTCCGGGTACATTTATATTTACGAATTATTTAAATATTTATAAGAATTTAGGAACATTAAATATTTATGTATGCTAATTGGCAAATCATCAATAAATATAAATTATATAAATATTTATTGGCGTCGTTATACAAATTAAACAATCCTAACTAAAATTAGAAATAGCAAAATTTGTTAAAATTCTACTAATTTTTTGCAATTTTCCAAATTCCAAATCCAATTTACCAAATCCAATTTTGCAAATTAGAGTTGTGGGGTAAGCGCAATGAGTTATCCCGGCCTCGGCCCAGAGTAGGAGAAGAAACCCCGCTCGACCCTAGGCGGGAAAAGTAATTTGATGATATTGCCCTAAAAAAACACCCGTGTGTCTCTTAAAAAACCTGTGTGCTATGCTTGTGACAAATGTATCCTGGTGGAGGAATGGTGTTGGATACCTGTCCATGGGCGACTCTGATTACTTGCCATCAAGTGATACATCAAATCGTTTGCTTCCTATTACCATTTCAAAAAATATCTGACGTCACGCCTACACGGCCTACACAGCTTAGTAAAAATTATACCTAATGATCTAATTTTAGAATGTTTGGTTATCTAGAGTTTTCTAGATTATCTCGTATGAGTTTCCATTAAAAATATGACTAATAATGCGCTCATATACCATGATTATGAACTGGGATTTTTACTTATCAAATTTTCATAATTAGCTTCATTATACTAATATTAAATAGTTCAAGTTTATCATACATCAGTATTCCGATCATTATTAGCAAAGTTAACTAATAATAAAGCATTCGGTATAAAAAAAGCGTGATTTAAAAGTATAGAAAATTATAGTTAAAAAAAGTATTTATTTTATGATGAACTTTAATTTTATTTAGGTTATTTTAGATATTTTTTTGTGCACGTTTTATACATATCAAATGTTGTCGTGCCAAAACGATACCTACGCAAATCAATAAAATCGACCTTGGAGTAGGTGACTGGTTACGATGATATGATACTTATTCCACATTTCCATCATCGTATTTTACTGTAGTGATAGGAAGATAACCCGCACATTTTATATTAAATAGCACATCGTATAAAATATCAAGTCCAACAATCGCGAGAAAAACCACGGTTTTACTTACAATAAATCTTTGCATTTTCTCCCGTGGCGTACACCCGAAAAAAGTGGATGGTTTAGATTCACCGCCTTTCCTTAAACTCTCTCTAAATAAGAAATTTTCTACTACTAGATAACAAGTTGACTTACCTGGAGAAATCCTTGTCAGTCTGCAGGGCCTCCTCACCATGCCCAAGACGTAACAGATGTCTTTCATCCACATCCAACTCCGCTACTTTCTCAAAGAGCTGGTTTAGAGCCTGGTTACTGTGGGTAACCACCAAGTTTCTTTGCCATGGGAAATTGTGATATAGATTTGATATTATTTGTACAGCTACGTCCGTTTTACCTGTTCGAACACCATACATATGTACATCATGAATAATACATAACATTATGGTAAATATACGTAATATGTCAAGCAAAACAAGGTGTATAAGGTGTCAGATGATCAGAAAAAATGGTATTTTACTTGACGACAGCACATTAAAGTTTCATAAAACTAATACAAAAAAAAAGTGAAACGCAAAATGAAGTTTTTTATAATCCAAAGTAATATTATAAATGTGAAAGTAACTCTGTCTGTCTGTCTGTCTTTTCTTCACGCCTAAACTACTGAACCGTGTTCTGTGAAATTTGGTACAGACATAGTTTGGAACTCGAGAAAGGACATAGGATAGTTTTATCCCAAAAATCTGCAGGAACGATGTTTCGGGCAAAAGCTAGTTCGAAATCGAAGTTCTGAACTTACCTGTCCCCGGTGGGCCCACAACCAAGGTCAATCCAGGTTGCATTCCTGACCGGATAGCTTCAACTTGGGTGGGAGTAAAAGGTATCGTATTTCTGTAACAAAAACCCGTTATAAATAACCAGTGCATATCAGATATTTGGGTTTTACCACATTGATATGAATTGAAAAGGGTTCATTGAAAGTTTATCGTATGAGTATTTATCGTTCGACCCAACATACGATATTAACGGAATTCTTTGTAGTTTGCATTTGTAAATATTTAGGCACTGTTTGACCTACTAAAGTTTGATTATTAACGACTATCTACATATCTATTTGACTTATCTTGTTTTGCACTACACGTGGGAACAAATATGTTTCCACTTAATTATACTTGTCATCAAGTATGCATTTTATGTCCATACACAATTGAAACAAATAAAAAATAAATTGTTTTTTCTAATCTTAGCTTTGGGCCTCAGTTCTGACTAGCACTCCTTGCACAAAATTCTCACGATGGTCATCACTACGAAGATACTCATAGTGGAAAGTGCGTACGTAAATATAAATGCACTCTTCACTCTCCAACTCCAGGACGGCCATCTCGTTCCAAGTAAAATTAAATACTGCCTTTACGTGCTTTCCGATGAACAAAGATTTTCCTAGTTAAATCGTAGTTTGACTTAATAAATACTTAGCATTTATTGCTGTTGCCGGTCACCCCGTCACTTTCCACTTTCGCTGTGCCAATGGAATCGGATGATCAAGGATTAAGAAAGAAAAACTTACTTCTTAGGCTCATTGCTTAGGTAGGGTCCTCTTTTGGGCTGGACGTGAGGTTCCACAAGAATAACCTTTCGAGGTTCGTCCTCATCCATAGGTTCACCACCATTCTGTTGTTTCCGAAGAACATTCTCGAACGTTACTCTGTGAAAAATTATGTTTATTACATTTCCCGCCGGTTTCCTTGAATGTTAACTACATATTTAAAATATACGTTTAAATATATATGAGGATATCGAGATCGCTTAGGATTGGCAAAAAAATGTGAAATCTGAAGAATGTTAGTACAACAGCCATTGTAGAACTAAAAATTTACTCTCTGAAAAATAACATAAATTTTTTGATGGCAAAAAGCATAAATACTTAATTGTCCCGAATATCACAGCAGAATTTTTATCAGCATATGGTTCCGCATATATACGTGTTTGGATATCACAACAAAGATTCCATTCATACAATTACAGAAAACGTTAACAAAGTATATAAAGGTCTTATCACTTTAGATTAATCTTAAAGCTTATGAAAGGACAAGAAAGAACAGGTCATACCGGATACAAGCTTAAAGTAGCTTTGTCATGCTATATCTTTTTTAGTATCCGTATTTACGTATTACGTATGGCGCAGAAATTTTTTGCACTTACTTAAATGGTCTGACTAGTTTTCTAGGGTCATCTGTTTGTACTTTGATCTCGTACCCGGGAAAACTATTACGAAGGTGCTCCATATCCAAAAATGTATCGTTGAAATCTAGTGTTGGTATCTCGTTTGGCATCCTGAAACAATTACAAGTACTAAAGCATTAAGTATGTTAGTTGGTTTTAGTAAATAACGGCTCAACAGTTTTCCATTTGCAACATTACAGTTTTTGTGAGGCTAGTTTCTGACTATATTCAGTCGGATATAAAAAATAAGACAATGAAACTTAGTCATAAGGTTTATCAATTCAAGATCAAGTTTTTGCTAAGGCATCCCACGGGTCATTCTTGGAAGAGGATACAATGTCTGCCCAACTCTTTAAAATTTAATGCCATATGGTCTCTAATCTAAACCTGGCCAGTAGGTGCCAATGTGACTTTTTCCGGGTTATATGTATATTCTAAGATTGTTTAGACGCAACTTAAAAATCATACGGTGAAAACAAATCGCAAGGAAACCTGGCCTTATTACTTCTAATTATAAGTTTGAAATCGGCAATCCACCTTGATTTGCTTAAGACCTTTTCCTCGTGAAAAGAGGCTTTTGCTCAGCAGGGCACTGATCATTTGTGGTCTCTAATAATTTTACCTGGTGTAATGAGCTTGTCCCGGGTCCCCATAACCAAGGACAATATCGTGGAGCCACTCGGGCACCACACACTCTGTGTTCATCAGCTCCCGTATCGTCTCCAGCACGGCCTTGAAGTTGTTCTCTTTAGGTTTGCGTCTCATAACAATGTTGAAAGTTTCGTATACATCCTGTGTCCAAGAGAAAAACAATAATTACATATTTATGGGCTTTGCCACATTTTATTCTTCTAGATAGCCAGTATCAAATTTGAGCGTGATGTGATATGCTGTATGCTATAATTCGGGGATGCGCCTTTCTACTCATGAACATTTTAAAGTTACCTAAATATTTACTATAATCTGGTCTAAATCTAAATTTCAGGAGTTCAGTCTCGACACCTGGGAGGTGAGGTAACGTGTTATTCGGTTTTAGGGTATTTTCATAGTTCTCGGTAACTGCACGAAGTCCGAAATTGTATCCACTATATGGACAAAGCTTCGATCACATGGGAATAATAAAATACCTTCTAGTGAAACGGGGCGCTACATTAAAAATATTCTGCATTGATTTGTTTTACTTATGAAGCTCAGCGAGGAAAGCGATTGCATAAACAAGTTTAGCCGATCGTGACTTATTGAATCAGATTTGCAGTATGCTTTCAAAACAATCTATTTCAAGAAACCCAAACAAACACTTCTGACTAAAAGAATGACGGTTGAAAAATTTCAAAAATTTAGTTTGCAGATATAAATCGCTGAATCATATGGTAGGTATACTAAATTTTTCCTTGATCCCGATCGCAAGTTATCTATAATTTCACACAGTTTTTTATTATCTCTCGATGCTTTTTTTCTGAAACTTTCTCTTTGCACATTAAGAAGTCTTATGTGCATGAAGAGAAAGTTTCAGTTCGCAGTGGAAATTTAACTTACCTCGTTGCCTTTACTGGCATTGTCAAGATCAAGTCTGTACTGGTTAGGGTCGAGAAGCAATCGAAATGTTCTGGAGTCTCCTTCAAGCTCAGGTCTGGGTTCAGGTCCTTCTTCAATGACTCTACCAGAGGCATCTAGCATACCTTCCACTTCGCAACCTCTCACATACACTATGCTAGCTTGCTCGACCATGCTTTTACGGTAATCGTATTTAGTACCTGTCAAATGGAAGAAAGTTAAGGATTTATTACTTTGTAAGAAGACCAAAAAATTTACACATTTCAGCTGCTGCTATGGGGATTCCAGGAACTAATTACAATATTGATGTATACGTACCGATGCCCTGTGTTGGTCGCACTGTTATCAAAAAGCATACATCGTGTTTACGTAAGCTTTCCCATTCATATTTGATTTCATTTCTAACGCTGAGTGTGACTGTAACATCAGCCCTTACACATGAAGGTGCCTTTTCTCCAATATTGGGCTTAGCCACTTCCACTACTGCGAAACTCGTTATGGGATGCGCCATTCGAGCCCAGCCACCGAAGTATACGCTCCCATCTTCAGCACGCCTGCGAACGGTTTGTTGTAAATTACAAAAAATGTCACGTCGGGTACATCCAAACTAAATTGACTAGAAATTTTGACACCCTAAAATTATACCCAGATCCTGAACGTAAACGTACTTACCATGGTGCCAATCGATAAACAGCATCTTCTATATCTTGACGGATTTCGTCTGTAAGATTAGCAGATTTGAATTAGTCGTTTAATGCATTGTATAGTCTTAAGCAAGAAGGAAGTAAAGGTATACTTACATGTGCTCTCCAAACGAAAAAGATTAAAGTTTCTTAGCAAATAATCATGTAAAGTAAGGAACTGCAGGTTCAGTTTGGGTAAAGCAAGACAATTTTCTCCGCTATAGATTTCTGTTGGGACCACATTTTCATCCCATATAACTTCCTCTGTAGGGTATAGGGGCATGGTGTTCAACTCTTCTAGTTGAGAAATTCGGCGTTCATGTCGCGATATCTGACGAAAAAAATATTATTAACTTTTTAAATAAGTATTGTATGGTTTGATTGCAGATGAATGAAAGGAAAATTTATTAGAGTGCATGAGGTACTGCGAGAGTTGCTTATGAATATTGTTAATTTTTCTTGTTCTTTGTTATTCATGTAATTGGATCTTATCCGTATTAACATAAATAAACAATATTTTTTTTTCTTCTTACCAATAATTCCTTTAAGAAAGGTTTGTCTAATCGATGCCAAGGAGCTGCATTTTCTTTTCCTTCAGGTGGTACGAGATTTAAATATGTAGCGATGGCTCGAAGTGCATTTTCACTAAAACATATAACACAGTTATTGCAGTCAATAAACGCAGTTTGAATAATATAAAAATATGCATTATGAATGTTTGTTTTACCTTAAATTACCAAAATGTTTTTGTAAGGATTCTCTGGTATCAACGCTGGCAACATTTGCAAGGGCAAATAAACGCAGATCCGGGAATTTGGAGAACGCTGCTTTCTGTAAAATTTTTCTATTTAGTTTTATTTTTACATATTCGTAGGTGTGAATGGACAACGCGTGAAATGGTCGCAAAAATTAAATTGCGTACAAGTCTAAGTTGTTCATATACACAGGATTACTTACACAAATGTATATATTATTATTGCATATAGATAATACTAGTTTATGAATGTAATCCATCACAATGGATGCAGACCAATTCATCATGTGCGGCGTCTTTTTATAAATAGGTAAACGCGTTGTTCATAATCAACAAACAATTGAATGACTCAGTCAAAGATGAATTATTTCCTCTAGTACAAAATTAATATTAAAATTTATCGACGGTTGGCGTAGTTGTTGGCTGTTGAATCGTGGTGCGTGCGTTAGATTGTAGTTGTTCCAAAAAATTCACAAAACCTTTTCTATGTAACAATTCAAAATTTAGCTAGTTTCGTCGTCATCGTTTTCATTGCCAAAAAACCTAATAAGACAAATTTATTAATAAAAATAAATTCATTCGTTTATAACGATTTATGTAAATGATTCATGTATGATTTGTCACAAAGTTCTAGTTAAATGGTAGCGGGTTCCAATAAATAGTATAGCGTAACTATGCATTGTTTTAAATTTAAGAGTGTCTTTTAAAAAACATGTGGTGGCAAACGATCTGAAGACGGTTCACGTAATGGTAACAAAGCGGTGTCCTCATTGAACCCTCGCAAAGCTCGAGTTACCAGAGCAATGCCTTTTGTGGACTCCGGTAATCTCACTCACACTATGAAACACAATACAAGCGTTTTTTTTTTGTGAGGGGAAAATCATCAAATGACTTCTCCGGGCGGGAGGGAATGTCAGACTCTTACTGACTGAAAACCCCCTGTTCCTTCTCCTGCTCAGTGCTCTGGGCCGAGGTCGCGGTGCCTCATTGCGCTTACCTCGCAAGCCGGCTGACAATACAAGCGTCACCGGCCTACTGATGGACCGTATATCCTTGGTTAACGAATAGTGTTTTACACGTACCTGAAGTGAAGTTATTCTGGAATAATGTTGTAACGTCATGTCTCTATCAGTCATCGGATCTCCTGTCTCATCACTTATTTCGAATCTTGCATAAAATTTGAGCATATTTAGGAGCTGTAACAAAGAAGAAAGGTATTTAAGTATATATACACAAGGATATCTACAGATTAAAGCCTAAATTAAAGAAAAATACCTGAGGGCTTCTAAGAAAAAAAATAATGTCTTTATAATAAACATTATTTTTTTTACTTTCAGTGACCTAAATTTGTTGACCGGTGTACATTGAAGAGGACTAAGGCCTACTTTTGGTGGCTCTAGCATACTTTTATACGTCTTTCAGAATACAGTCGCAAAATTTAATAAAAAGTAAAAAATGCTCTACTCGCCTTTACGTTTCGTTATACACAGAACGGTTTCAGCGATTTTGGAGTCAATTATTTAAAGTATTAATGATCTTCCGATTCCGCATCAAACAGTAGGAACATATAAAATGTAATTTCTTAAACAAACCCTTTGAAATAAAACTATTATTGAAAATTTAATAATGACCGCATGGTTGGCGCATTGGCTGGGCAACCCGTGACACGTAAGGTGTGTCGCGGGTTCGATCCCCCACAAAACAACTCTTCGTGTGATCCATAAATTGTTTATATATAAACAGTTTAAAAACATAACATTAAAATATATCTAAAGAAACGCGGGGCACATCAGATATTGAATGTTTAGTATTATAGGTATCGTAAATAGCAAAGTGTTCGCGTTCACTCATAGAGTACCTTGTAATACAGTTCATTCAAGCAGTTGAGCGGGGCGCAAGCGCACGACTTTTATGACGAGAATTTTAAAAACGCGCCGTTCCGTTCATTAGTAAATAAACAAAACGAACTGTAAATATCAATGAAGTGGTGTTAAGGACTTTTGGAACCTGAGCTCTTCATCCTGTTTTTTGTATAATGTGTTTGATAATAGTGATAAAATAATAACAACAAAATGGGGTTAAATTGTGTTCAAACTTTATTTTGCCTGGTACTGGTTCGCTATGTTTTAGCAGAAAGAAAGTGTTGCCCACCAGGACAAGTTCTACTCATGAGAAAGGATGTGTGCTGGGAACCGAAAACGAATGTTACGGAACCGGTACCGTTAAAGTGTAAAATGCGGCCTATAAGATTCATAAAAAATTATTATGTCAATGATAAAAATGAACTAAAACTTCACCTAGGAGAAGATTTCCCTGATGAAACAGTCACCGATAACTCGTAAGTGAAAACTGTATAATTACATATAATTAATTACTCACTTCTTTCTGCGGTTTCGTCTGCTGTATCAGGATAAAAAGTAGGCTATGTGTTATATTGGAGAAAATCTAACTCTATGCCAAATTTACTCCAGAATTCAGCTTATAAGTCAAATAGTAACAAAACTTCATTCAAAAATCTATACTTAGGAACGTTCGCGTTTATAATTTCATTTAGGATGGAAGGATGGCAATTGAAGTAACGAAACATTAGTATATCATTTAACAATAATTATAATAGACAAATAATATCCATATGAAATTTTCTAAGCACAGAAGTAACCGATAAAACGATCCCACTGCAATAATTTTCATTTATTAAAAATAATATCAAAGTTGAAGAATATGCAACAGATGAGACTGAGCTACTTACAACTCGTTTGCCATAATTTACAAGCGAAAGCGGCTGTCAGGCAGCCCTAATCAAGCGTGTAAAAGATTTGTATCTGTCGAACATAGATAAAAATTAGAAAGCCATTTAATAATATTAATAATCTTCAAATTGGCTGACAACATTATATAAAAAAATATCAGCACTGTATGAAATGTGACAGTGCGGTAAGGCCACTATGTATATATAAAAAATGGTATTAAAGGCTTACAAATGTATAGCTTTAAACTAAAAAAGGCAAATAAACCGCACGCAATAATAAGGCCGCTATCCCATTGGCATTGTACGAGCGTAGGCGTCTTTCGAACGACGACGCGACGTCAACGTCAAACATCTACTGGGATAGCGGCCTAATGTGAAGCACGCTTGTAAACATGTGTGCATGACAGCACTATAAAAACACGTTTTTTTAATATATCAAAATAGATGAAAGTAACATATTATATGTTGTCTAAAAGATTAAAAATAATTTCATTAATAGATAGATCTAATTTTCGTATAAAAAATAAGTATGCCATTTAAGTATCCCATTAAATTAGTATTTATTGCAAAATTCGAAGAAAATTATCGTTTTAATTCCCTCAATAAAATATTGAATCTTTAATGAAATACACGTATGTACGTTTCTGCAAATAAATAATAATTTCAATGTAATTTAACATAAAATGATGCATCCTTTTATTGGTATTTTAAATGTGTAACAGGTAAAGGGCAAAGACTATATTCAGTCAAACATATATATGTATTTTTTTAAATGGAAAATTTTGGAAATTTTATATATGAAATTTTCCAATATTTCTCTAAAAGAGATCTTTATAAGAGATTTAATAGCAAACACGTACAACCAAGGTCAAAGAAAAAACTAAGAATGAATTATTATGATAATGTATTTAACGATATTGTGCACATTTGGTTAGCTGTAGTTATATGTGAAAATTTCACCTTCAGTTTGCTGTAAAGAATCGATGTCATGCACCAAATTAGTTGAAGGCCAAAAGAAAGAAGTTTCTTATATTTCATAATTTTGCAAAAAACACTGTGTTCGAGTTTCAGTGACTGTCAATCAGCCTGTTTTTAATTTTACACTTTTTACTAGCATACTTCGCGCGTTGAGAAAAGCTAGTGCCATCTATTGTAAATTGGTGGAACACGGTGGGCTCGTACCATCGTACACATAATAAAATCGAAGATCATCAGTTCATCAATTATCATATGATCAAATGAAATGTATAGTTTAGGTTTGTATTAGGGATAAGGCACTAAAGTATATATAACAATGAAGAATTTTTAAGTATTTTAAAAAAAAAACTGGCGTGAATTATGTGTACTACGTTAAATAATGGGCAAGTTTAATAACATTATTCGCTATTTGCATTATTTACATTTATTAATGTTGTCAAACAAAAATAATCTTTCATGAGTACCCACTACCCAGTACTTTCAAATGTTTGTTTTGGACACATAAATATATTTAGGTTATTTCCAAACATAAAACTTTAATATTGGGTCTATAACATTTCAATTTTATTTCTAGAGGTGTCTAAAAATATGATTTACTCGTGTTACAGTAAAAAAATATCGAATTATGGTATTAATTGATTGTAATGTAATTTACAGGTACTGTATAGGCAACCATACAACAATAAGAGATGTTAATATGTCTAATACTAAAGCAGTGGCGTTAGTATGCGCTGATCAAGAAGAGGAGATCATTGATGACAAGATCCTAGGCTATACTATGATAGTCTCCGTTATATTCCTGGTGATGACCATACTTGTTTATAGCTTCCTACCCGAACTAAGGTTAGTATAAAAATATAGATATACAAAACTTTTATTTGTACAGTGTACACTCAATTTTGAACGTCTTCGTTGAGCTCTAAATCTGAAATGCCCCGCATGAAAATGGCATTCTACCGAAATATTAATATCGAAGGGATGGTTCGATACCTAGCATGTACGAATGTGACGTTTTGATGGTTTCTAAGTTCATTGACATACCAAAGACATATACGGTGAAAGAAAACATCGTGAGAAAACCTGGACTTATACTTTCTATTAATTAAAAGTTGGAAATCGCCAATCGGTGTGGTGATTAATGCCACTTTTTCCGTGTGAAAAGAGGCCTTTGCTCAGCGGTGGGCGCTTATAGGCTGATGGTGTGATTAAAGCTAAATTCTAATATTATATCCAAAAGAAATATATAAGTTGAAGTAACTACCTACATTAAAAAAATCCTAGTAAACATTATTTTATTTATTTATTTTATAATATTATTCCTATTTAAGTTTAGAATTAAATAAGAGATCATTTCTTTTAGTTATTTTTGGTAAGACTTGTTTAAATTTATAGAAATCCCTATCCTATCCTGTTTCATGTACTAACCTTATTTTACAGAGATGTTCAGGGGAAAAGTATAATAAACTTTTGCACGAGTCTCGCCATTGGCCTAGGAGTACTCGTCATCATGAAACTTATGGTTTATAATGATATGGGCTGGTGTGCAGTTCGAGGTAAATATAACGGTGCTATTTTCCTAATGTTTATTTTTGTTAAATGCGGGATAACGTATTATTTATCAGCGTAAATGCGATAGTTATGTTTGCATTAATTTGTAGATACAGTAAAATCGAAATGCTATTTGTCCCAGTGCTGGTCGGCACAGTTCTGATAACTTAAAAACCGGCTAAGAGCGAATCAGGCTACGCTCAGTGTAGGGTTCTGTAGCGTTCCGTCCGTCACAATAAGTATTCCCACAAAGGAGTTATTGTAAAACTAAAAACCGAAATCAGCACAAGTCGCAAAAGTACAGCGCCATCTCTTAGGGAATTGGGTTGGATTTGTCATTTTGGGTTTCGGAAACATATTTAAGTAAGTAATTATTTTTTATGTGAAAGAAGATACGTTCAGAATAATGAAACATATAAACAAAGCTAAAAAATGCTTGCTTATACGGTTAAATTACAAGATTAGTTCCGATTTTTTAGTTCAATATATCGAAAACTGTTCAACCAATCGAGTTCAAAATATTTTTCTTAGAAAGAATGTTTTTAGTTGTACTTTCAAGATTTTTTATATTTTTTAACCTTATGGTTCAAAAGTTAGCATTATCAAAAAATAATCGTAGTAATCCCCTATTGATTTTTTAATACCTACGTATCCAACACCTAGGGTTGAAAAGAATATATCACTCCCTACTTTACGTCAAACGGTCACTGAGATTATCCGCGGACGGACAGACAGACAGAAAAACAGATAGACATGGCACAACTATAAAAGGGTTTCTAGTTTGCGGTACCCTAAAAAATATTATAAACTAAGATTAATCTTCTATAATAGAAAAACAATCCTCTTATTGATTTGACTTATTTTTAAGCTTCTATTTTATTTTTTTAGGATTTCTCGCTTACTTCTTTTTAATAGCTGCATTCTTCTGGTCGAATGCGATATCAATACAGGTCCTGTTAAACACAAGGTCAGAAACTCCTCCAAATTTATATTATTATCTTAATTTTATTAAGTTCTAGCTACTCTCATGCGGTTTCACCCGCTGCTAAGCTCCTAAAGATTATACTACTAGCGCGATGTTTTATAGCCTTCCTCGATAAATGGACTAACAAACACAATTGTTCAATTCGAACCAGTATTTCCGGAGATTAGTGCGTTTAAACAAACAAACAAACAAATTCATCAGCTTTATAATAAATAGTATAGATACGCTTCACTGATTCTTAGGACTTTTAAAACTTCGTACTAACATCGTTAACAGCTATTTAATACATATTTTGATAATCTTGCCTAATGCTTACTAAATCTAACCTTTACTTTTTGTTGTGGTTACAGACGACCTGCGACAGTGGACTACGGTTGGAGGGAGTTTAAGTATTATATGCTCTATGCATGGGGCTGCCCAATAATCGTAACTGTATGCATGGCAATCGTTAACTTTTACCCGGGTAAACATCAGAAACCGGGAATCGGACTGAATCACTGCTGGTTCTTTAGTACGTATTGGTTGACATTTTTCTTGGATAATAATTATTTCCTAGACTGTCATAATATAAGGTAGAAAAATCTTAGTAAAATAGTTGTTGAATAAAATGTCCATGGCTATTTCCAGTGTAGACGGTCTGAATCTAACGTAAAAGAAAAATAATTTTAAAAAGAAAAAATAAATAGTATTATATTATTAACTGCAAATCGTGAGACTCAGTATATGTATACACGTGAGTAACCCCCGATTTTTAGTTAATTTAGTATGTATGAATAATATTGTTTATGTTTACAGGTAAGCATCAACAATGGTACTACATGTATAGCATCATGTTTTTACTTTTGGTTACCAACTTTGCTATATTCATCTACACGTCGTTACTAATATGGAGGATACCTGTCTCATCTAGTCTTAAAAGAGCAGTGAAATACAAGTAAGTATAAACTTAATATTTGTTTCACTATGTCTATGACTACTTAGTATACGATAAATTCAGCCGGGGTTGCCGGTACAAGTGCAATAATGTTTTGCGGTCTCGGCCCAGAGCAGGTGAAGGAACGGGAGAGTTTTTAGCCAGTAAGAGTCTGACACTCTCTCTCGCCTTACCCTGGGCGGGAGAAGTCATTTGATGATTTCCCCGACAAAAAAAAGTCCAATAATGTTTCGCGGCCACAGCCCGGGTGCTGGAAAAGCAACTGTATGGTTTTTAGCCAGTAAGATTCTGCCACTCCCTCTCGCCCCAGGCCCCAGTACAATTAATGACTTTGCCTATAAAAAGATAAAAGAATAATATAAATATTTAAGTACCATGTATTTATTTTTCCAGGCTTGGAATGACCGTGCAACTTATTATACTGATGGGTCTGCCTTGGGTTTTCGAAATGATTAGCTCGTTAACACCGAAACACATTATTTGGTAAGTAGGTAGTATACTAAGCAAACTAGAAACACGGATTTTATATGTAATCCGGTTTTCAATGAACATTGGACTTTGCTTTATATAGCAATGTACTTTAATATAAATTTATTGTCCTGTGCTAATGTAGAAACGTTAATCGTGGTTACTTGTACCTAATTTAATTAATTGCTGGTCATTTTGGTCATGAGCTCATTACAATAAATTCTGCGTCAATAAGTTTAATAGTGGATAATGTAGTTATGCATTGAAGGTATATGTCGGTCTTACAGAAGTATTCAGTGCAAATTCAGTGCAAAGAGTTACCAAGTCCATAAAGGATAGATACGTCAGTACAATTTGCGCGTTAGTATATTGAGGTCATAATCATAACCTTTGCATTAAACCTTTATTAACTTACCTCATCTATGTTAGTGTTATTATTTAAATTTGAACTATATAATTATATATATATAGGTGTTACACAAGTATCCAGTGAAAATAATTTTCCTGTTTATGCAAGCTATGCGTTACAAAAGTCAAAAAGAAGGAAGTAAATTCTAATTTGCACATCATATACGCAAGATAAATGTGCAAATTGTATACGTGAGCTAAATGCATACTTTGTTGATGCAGAGCATCTACGATAATTTAGACAGATAACAGATGCCGTGTCCTTTTTCAAACTGATAAGAAGATAATAATATTGTCTAAGTAAACAATTAAGCACCAACATCATGCAAGCATAGGTATTAGAAAAATGCGCTACTGATAAGATTATGTAGGTACACAATATGTCATCAGATTTCTCATCTTGCATACTACATACTACATTATGTATGTAGTTCACCTAAAATACCAAGACAACATATTGACGTAGTTGTATCAAGATCAAACAAATTTATAGTTAAAATATCTTAGGAACTAAACACGGAAATACTAAGTTAGTAAAATCAAGGAAAACAAGTTATATTTATTTGTTCAATTAATGTAGTAGTGTTTGGTAAAGTTTATCAATGCTTCCTTCATCATTGTTAACTTTAAAGCAAATATTAGCGTCATAAATGTTAACCACAAATTATAACAATATTTTTGTTAGTTTCGAGTCAACCAAACAAAAGATACTGTACTGCATTTTAAAATAAATAAAGTGTACGGTATGATGCACGTAAAAAAATAAAGATTGTATTTCCTTATCTGAACACTTTATTTATTTTATACTGCAAATATAATAAAAAACGCAATATTATCATGTTTTTATTTTCTCCGTTTTGAGGCTTGAGTTGAGTCACTTCTAAATGTAGCCCCGAAATATGTATTTCAAGATAACCTGGATATAATCGTTTTTGAAAGGGAAAAAGGAGACGAATTTTGTTAAAAAGGAGTAGGGTGACCAGTTAGTCACTGTAAATAAAACGAATTAACATGTTTTAACAATTTTCAGGACTATATTGGATATCATCAACACGCTTCAAGGAATACTAATATTTTTGCTTTTGGTTGTGTTCCGGAAACGAGTAATCAAAGTGATGTACAGACATGGCTGGCTCGACTGTATAGCAAACTACATTGAGAAGTACCTGGCGACGGAAGATGACGAGGAAGACGTGGTCCAACACACAGATATCCCACTGAATGACAGGACAGTCCTATAAAACCAGTATGACTGTTCTCTAGTCGTGGACGAACTTCGCTTAAAAGTCAAAAATTTTGTAGTTTCATCAGAATGGGGTTTGGAGTAGACAAGTGTGCGGTTATGCATGTAAAACGAGGTGGGATAGTGGAATTTGAGAGTCTAGAACAATCATATTTCACAAAACTGATATCACTCTCCGCAAATGATACGTATAAGTACCTGGGTATGTCAGAAAAAATAGGTATTAATGCGCCGCATAAGAAGCAATCGTTACAGGAGCGCTTCTTTGGCCACCTAAATAAGGTATTGAAAAGTTCTTTATCAGGCAATCTCAGAAAACATTTCCAGAAAGTGGACGAGGTTGTGCATCAAAAAGTAATCGCAGTGGACAAGGGATTCACACCATTATCCTTGGCTAAAGAGAGCTGGTGCAAACCCGTAATACTGAGCTTCATGGACTCTTCTCCCGGGTTCTCCAAGGGCCCAATATCGATTTTCTAGCGTCCGTATCTTGGCTTGTATTTATATGTGCAATTATGGACGAAGTTACTCTTACGAATAACTACCAGAAATATAATAAGAAGGAAGGGACGGTTGACATATGTCGGGCGTGTCATAGCTCCGGTGAATCCTTCAGACATATTATTTCCGGCTGCGGTGATTTGGCTAATGACGAATACTTGAGCACACATAATCAGGTGGCCAATTATCCATCAGCAACTTGCTTTGAAATACCGTCACATACTAGTCGTACAGTACTTCAGGTTTGTTGAATATGAGGACTACTAGTATGTGCCCGACCCAGTTCTAGAAAATGACCATATCACATTGTACTGGGATCGGTCTATCATCACTAACAGGACTATTATAGCCAATTGGCCTGACATAGTAGTGATAATCGATGTTGCCATTCCTCATGACGAGAACCTCGTGAAAGCTGAGAAAGATAAAACAATTAAAATAACTTGGCTCACAAGGTTGTTATCATGTGGAGTGTGGACTCGGCTAACATAGTGCCGATAGTTGTGTCGGGAAATGGGTTACCACCGGTAGCTTGGACCTTGCTCCCGCTGCCGGCTGGCTCGTATTTTTATATTTTTAATATTCTCTTATTTTATTTTTATAGTAATATTTAGAGTTATTATTTAAATAAAAATGAAAACAATAACAAATCTTAGAACATATAAAAAATTTAACAAAAGAAGTGAAACAAGAATTAATGTTTGTTGGGATTAGCTTGCTTGCGTATCGAGCATTTCTAAAAAGCTTTCTTTGGTATTTAATAATTTCTCATGGCATTATCATATACATAAAAATTATTAAGCTACCTCGCTAAATAAAAAAGGGTATTATTTTATTTTCTTCTTAGCAAACCTTTTTATGACGATAAGAAACAACAACAAAACCAGAATTGGCAAAATTTGTCAATGATTTTTTGAGTTACACGCTTACCAACACATTATACCATTCAGTATTATTATACAAGACTTTCTCACGTGAAACAACACACATAAGTACGACTAATTTCAAGTTACAGCGGGACTTTCATTCATAAGCATTAAGCAGCTATCTCCTGCCCTAGTCTTATTTTATGAAGTGTTAATTGTACGGCTTTCGTTTAAAATAATTGTATATTATTTGTATTAGAAATTGCAATTACTTTATTACATAAGTAAGTTAGTTAAACTTTTATTTAAAATGCCGTCAGATTTTATTTTTTTATCAAAAATTTTACAAATATGTTTACACCTAGTCTAGCTGTCGGCTATATGCGCGACGGTGGCGATGCGTAGCGTTTACAATATTTGCGGTAGCTGTCAAATAATAACAATGTAAACAATATAATTTTCTTTGCAAATAAAAATAAAATCAAAGAATAAAATAGTATTGTTGACATTATTTAAGTGCAATTTATTCAATAGTTTTACTGTAAAATGAATATAATAATAAAAACCAGTTTTGAAACTATTACCATAATATTAGTTTCCAACCGCAAACTGAGACAAAAGGCAATAAATTAATATTGCCAAGCAAGTAAGAAATGTTGAAGAACTGTACTGATATAATGTACAGTATATATGTCCATATGTACGAAGAACTACGCTATATATAACTGTACTGCAATCAACACATTTGACAGCTGATCATCCGCATTTGTTTCAAATTTATGCCGTGTTGTGCGCTGCGTTCATTATCTGTCCGCCACAACTCGTACATAGCCAATTCAGCCATTCCAATGTAGAATGGTGATTATTAATATAATTTAAACTAAGGTATTTCTAAGGAAGTTTGAGTGCATTCAGGCTACTGTTAAATAAATTGAAAACATAACTGTAATTTACAAAAATGTATGCGTATTAAGATACTGAAAAATGCAACTATAGTTAGAACCCAACATGCTGCCACCGCAAGCGCAGGTCTGCGGATGGTCAGCAAAGGTAGCTCGATGCCCGACCAGCACCAGACCCGAGTTTGCGGGGCGTAGCGCAGATGGCGCCCAACATCGGTCGGATCACGGCCTTCACGGGTCAAGCGCAATAAGATACCGCGGCCTCGATCTGACACTCCCTCTCGCCATACCATGGACGAGAGAAATCATTTGATGCTTTTATTTATTTTTATTTTTATTTAATTTACTAGCCTGTACTAAAACATGAACTTGACACTGAGTTTGGTGGCTCATAAGTTTGTTACAGTACATAATAATATTGTCAATTAATATCCTTAGTTTCATATTAAATTAATCACCCACGAATTTTATCAATTACATTTACTGTATATTTTCCTTTTACAAGTTGTTAATTGTAAATATGTACAAGTGTCGTTAATTAAGTCAACCAATAAGCGCGTCAATAATATTTACATAATATGTGCATTTTAATTTTAATTAAAAATTGTATTTTTATAAAATAAACATTTGAAAGGAGGAGAAAAGAAATAAAACTAGGTTAGGATAAAATAACTTTGAGAAATTATGGTAGTAAAACGAGTTAAGAACTCCTTATGCTTTCTCAATAGAAGTAAGTTGTTATTTTGTAAGCATTTTTTTTTTATATAAGTACTTCAGATGTTCGCATTTTTTCATGGCACCTAATTTATTTAGATAAAATACATTAAGATTTTCATGTATTTAAGTTATATCTATTATTTATTTATTGGTATACCAACAGCACGCATATTATAAACTATATATGTACTAGTAATAAATATAACAACCAAAGACTAATTAAGTATGCCTATTACAGGTACACACAGCGTTCATACATAAACAACTAAATTGTTTAAGAGAACAAGAAAAGAGATAATCTACTAATAATATCATAAACAATGTTGACAACATTAAATAACCAATACTTAATAGTGATCATAGAATTTACACGTCCCTGTAATCATCACGTGCCTCTGTCGATTATATCGATTTATAGGTTTTCTTTTTTCTACTAGTATGTAAAAATACATTTGATATTTATAATATGTAAAGTATAAGTAGCAGTGTGTAATATAAAATAGTATAAGTAGGATAGAAAAAGTTTGTATCGGGCAATTGAATTATAACCGTGCTGTTTAACGTTTGCATTTCATTTATCTCCTCAAATATATTACATAATACTTATAGGTAAATAATGTCTGGCGGCCCACAGATGTAATTCTAAAGTCCCAACAGTTTTATTATTTGATGAGGATGACAGCGCCATCTAGTTACTGCGTAGTTAACTAAATGGTAAGAACTTTTTAACAAAGTGGTTATAAAACCAGAAATGATTGCGAATGATGTTTGTTAATTACATCGACAATGGATATTAATAGTAGACGGATCACCTAATGGTAAGCCATTTGCGTCGCCCATCGACACCCGCAACATCGATGATACGAATGCGTTGCCGGCTTTTCAGAGGGCTAAACCCCTTTATATGGGATTTAGGATATTTCTCATCAGATCTACCTACGATAGCGCAGTATTTACCTACAACAGTCTTCTATGGACAGCTGAAGCCTTAAATTTGATGAGACACATAAAGGTCAATATGAAAGTAGTATGCGAATGGGACCTCTGTTTTTATGGTCACCAAATGGCACTTGTGTAGAACTCGCATCTTCACGAATAAGCTAGTGACACTCCACTAGGCGACAAATTTTGGTCAGCTACAATAATCTATACTAATATAATAAAGAGGTAAAATATCTAAGTTTGTATGTGGGGGTAATCATTGGAACCGCTGGTCGGATTGCCAAAATTCTTTCACTGATTAGATAGCTACAATGTTCCCGAGTGCTATAGGCTACAAAGCATCACGCTACGCTTACATGGAGCCGATCACCGGTTGAAACCGAGCGAGATTAGCTAGTATTGGATAAAACTGGATTGCTACAGGTCAGTTAATAAAAACGGTAGCCCTCAGTCACTAATAGAAAACCTAGTAATGTATTTTGGTTAAAATAACCAGGTACAAAGCGCCTACTGGATTTATTATTGCAATATTTATTAAATTAAAACAAATTGCTATTATTTTTCGTCAGTTAATACTTTTACTGCCAGATAAAACTACCTCATTCGTCGAGCGGTCACAGTACACTTGATTCCCGAGTCGAATAAAATGTTATCAGGACTTTCGAAAATATCGATCGATATCGATACTACTTCTGCCGAGGTATTGTTCGGGCACAGATCATTATAATGATTAGTTAGACATTACTTAGCAGCAATTTTCTTAAGAAAACTGCAGCCAATTTGACTGAACCCAGTCTGGATTAAGTTACTTTTTAAAAGAGGGTGTAGTTATATTAGTCTGTAAAATTTGTTATGGTGAAAAGCCGTACTCGCGATATCTAAATAGCTATTATTATATAAAATCCATATCTGTTTACGTTCTAAATCAATGCTAATTAGTTAACGCCGCTTATCTATCTAGAACACACTTTATAGGCAATAATAATTTGTAAAACAGAACTAAGTAATAACAAATCGTATAAATAGAATACAGTAATAGAATAAATAAAAATATATGGGTAGGTAGTACTTAACGAATGGCATTTGGTGTAAAAAAAAGGAATCTTAAATATATTATAGGCGTCAAAAATACAACTGGTTGCAAAAACGAATTTGTTGGTTGGATTACCTAATGACTTAGGTATTTTATTTTAAAAGTAAATCATCGAGTTTGAGGTGTAGCCTAATCTGCGTACTCCTATGATCAGCTGAATAAATGTGACGGGAGCCATAAAATACCCTCCGAGGAGGCGGATGCAAATGCAAGAATGCATGGAGTAGGAGTAGTAGGAGTGGGGTCATTTTTACTTAAAGGATCTGACATTTTTTCTTGCCCCGCCCAGGTTTAAACAGGCACACAACCCAGGCAAAAATGGGATAGAAGTTATTTTGCAAAAACCGACGTAGGTAAATTAAAGTCGTTTCAACCTACCCTCAATCGGACAACTATTTGCACCTTTTTAGGTTCGTTTAAGGATTATGTACTACATAATTATGTTTTAGTATTTTTTTTATGGTATAAGTCGGCAAACGAGCCGA